GCTCTTCCTCCCCAAACAAAAAATATGAGTACTGATACTTATCAAGCATTTGTAGTCCACTGCGAAGTGCTTTACAGGGATTATCGTAATTAATCCACATGCCACCCCACGAAGTAAGCATTATCCCCACTTTTTGGAGAGGAGACTAAAGCTCAGAGAGGTGAAAGAATTTGCCTAAGTTCCACAGCATAGAAATGGCAGCACTGGGAACAGAAGCTAGGGCTTTCTAACCGAAAAGTTCCCACTTTTAATACCTCTCTGCCCTGAGGAGGGGGATTTCCTGTCTTCCAGACCCAGCAGAAGATAACAGCCTTCATGCCCCACAGGCCAGGTGGCACGTAGGAGGCCCCACATCTCTCAGCCTAGAGTGGTTCAGAGCACGGCTCTGGAGCCAGACTATGCCTTGATCTGGTTCTATCGGTTACTAGCTGTGTGATCTCAGTCAAGTCACTTAACCTCTCTGAACCTCAGTTTCCTCATCTTTATACATGTGACAAATACTTAAGTGCCTGCTATGTGCCGCCCACTGTTTTAGGTGCTGGTGATACATTGGTGGACAGAACACATAAGAAACTCATATTGTACAGAGGTGACGGATAATGAACAAGCACATAGACAGATGGGAAAACACATTAGAAATTGTGATGAGATCTATGAAGGTAACAACAAGGAGCTAAGACAGAAGATACCTGGGGACTCCTCCTTTAGATAGAGTAGTCATGGAGGGCTTCTTGGAGGGGGTGACATGAAGGTGAGAGCTGGATGATGAGAAGGAGCCAAACCTGTGACGCACGGAGGGAGAGCAAATCAGGCAGGGGGAGCAGGAGGTGCAAAGGCCCTGAGGTGGGAACAAGCGTGACTGTTTCAGGGGATGTAAGAAGGCCACTGTGGATAATGGAGATAATAATGCTTACCCCAAAGGGTTGTTGAGCTAATAAATGGAATGATGTATGCAAAACCCTGAGCCCAGGGGCTGGCACATAGTGGAAGCACAATAAATGTTGCTTCTTTTTCTTTATTGTGGTGATGGCTGTTTCCCCGCTGCCCCACCCCCGCCTCAGCCCCAGAACCAAACTCTGAGGGAAGGGGAAGGAGGGGTTGGCAGGTTGAAGAAGGGTCTTCCTATTGCAGAAGGTGGAGGGCTACAGTGGGGTAGTCCCCTCTCTGGGAAGCTCAGGGTTCTGTGTTTGGGGCTGGGGGTGGGGGGTGGGCGGTGTGCCTCTGGGTCACTCAGCTGCTCCTCCTGTAAGCCCAGAGCTCCAGAGGTGAGGTTCTGAATCTGTTCACTGTCCTCTGGCTTTTTCCTGTCCCCCTTTCCCTCCTTTCTCTGGTCCTGGGAAGCCGGAGAATCTGTTGCTGGCCTCCAAGCTCAAGGGCGCCGCAGTGAAGCTGGCGGACTTTGGCCTGGCCATAGAGGTGGAGGGGGAACAGCAGGCATGGTTTGGTGAGTAGGGGCAGGGTGTGTCAGGGGTATTGGGGGCCAGCCTTGAGTTGACACGTCAGCTGCTAGGAAGCCTCTGCCCAAGCAGAGGAGGTGGCTATTGCCCCATCTGGGGCTCAGGGAGCAGAGCCCCCCCTCCCTGCAGCTTCTGAGTCATTGGGGGTCACCCACCCTAGCTCCCTGGGGGCCTGGTGCAGGGACATGGTTGTCATTAAAACAGTATGTGACTCCTTCACACGCACATCCGGCACTGTCGGCTAGGGGCTTCCATGAGTTCCCCTAACAGCCTGGGTGTTAGATTATTATCCTGATTTTACAGATGAGCAACAGAGGCTAAGAAACTAAGAAAAGGTCAAGGGAGATGAAAAGGGGTAGAGCCAGGATTTAAGCTCAGATGATCCAGTGTGCTCTGAGATTTTGGCATAATTGAGTCCTTTCAGCTATGTGGGGTTACTTTTTAGTGGGCAATATTTGATCAGTGGTTAAGAGCCAGAGCTCTGGGTTCAAATCCTGACCCTGCTACTTACAAGGTATATGATTTTGGGTGAGTCATTTCACCTCCCTGAGCTTTTGTTTCTTTATCTATAAAATGGGGATAATAATAGTATGTTCCTTGGGGTGGTGTGAGGATTAAATGAGATCAGGCATAGAAAGTTCTCAGCCCTGCTTAGCACACACATTCATTAAGTAGGAACTATTCTCACAATTACTCGTTAAAACATTTTGGGTGTCCATTATTTCAAGGAATCCTCCCAACAGTGCTGGGAGGTGTTTAGGATAGGAATCCCTAATTCGTTATTCGTGGATGAGGAAACTGAGGCCCAGAAGGAAAAGAGACCTACCTAAGTGACTTAGGGCAAAGCCAATGTTAGGGACAGGCCTTCTGCCAATCCAGGACCAGCTCCTGGAAGGGGTGGGGAGTGGGTGAGGGTTCAGCTCAGCCTGGAACTGACAGGCAAGGACATTTCACCTCTAGAGCCACCAGCGATTGATTGGTAGTGGTTGCCAGGAGCGTTGTGCTAGAAGTTTGTGACTCTGAGGCAGGACCCTGGGATGGATCAGTGACTCTGCCATGAGGCTCTCTGTGCTGTGGGGGCATGGTGACAGGTATACTCCGTCCTCGTCCACCTTGGTCTAGAGGCATTGGTGTCTTACCAGGCCAGGGCTTCCAGCCTTTGGCCGGCTCTGGGAGCAGGGGGCGTTTCCCCCATCTCCAGGGCAACCTCATACCTCTTCCAGCAGGATCTTGTTCCGGGTTACTTACTTGCCAACCTCTCTGTGTGTGTCTGCCTGTCTGTGTGTCTGGGGAGCAGGGTTCGCAGGGACACCCGGATACCTCTCCCCAGAAGTGCTGCGGAAGGACCCGTACGGGAAGCCTGTGGATCTGTGGGCCTGTGGTGAGTCCATCCAAAGGCCCCTTAGTCCTCCTGGCTGCCTGACCCTCTGGTGCCCTGTCTGTCCTTTCCCATCATTCTCCTCCCTCCCCCCCCCACCCCATCACTACTCCTCATGAGGCTGAAGTTTCTACTGGTTCTCTCCTCAGGGGTCATCCTGTACATCCTGCTGGTTGGGTATCCCCCGTTCTGGGATGAGGACCAGCACCGCCTGTACCAGCAGATCAAAGCTGGCGCCTATGATGTGAGTGTTGCTCCTGTCTCCAGCCTCCCTGTCGTCCCCTGGGCCCCATCCAGTGAGAGCCAAGGCCCAGTGAGGCCAGAGACCCGAGGATGACACTGTCCCACCCTCCCAGCCCATTTAGGCCTCCTGCCACTCTCTAGCTACGGGGTGGGGATGGGGTGAACAGCAGGTGAAGCCTGAGGGCTGACTGGGACCAGGCCATGAGCTGGCAGTGCCTAATGACTTGGGCCTCTAAGGGATGGGATTTAGTCCATGGGGCCCCAGAGGGCAGAAGCAGCACCAACGTGGTGTGAGAGGTCAGGGGGCAGGCCCCAGGAGCCAGGTTCTCTCTCTATGTATAGAGAGATAGATACATACATACATACATACATACATATATAGATATACGTACACACACATACACACATATTATATATTGTATATACAAATAGTAATAATAACTAACACATATAGCAGTCTTCTAAATGCTTTCTATATATTACTACAGTTAATCCTCACACCAGTCATGACATAGGTACTACTGTTACCCCCATTTTACGGATAGGGAAGCTGAGGCACAGAGAGGTTAAATAAATGCCCAGACCACTTAGCTAAGAAACGGTAGAGCTGGGATTTAAACCCGGGCAGTCTGGCTCTAGTGTCCGTGCTTCTAACAACCAAGCTGTACTGCTTTTCTGCATGGCTGATGTCTATTGAGCTATATGCTACGTGTTCTATATCATATTTAATCCTCACAACATCTCTTGGGGTCACATGACTTGCCCAAGCTCACACAGCCCGGTAGGCAGAGCCAGGACTTGAGCCCAAACTTCTGATTTTGAAGTCTGGGCTCTAACCACTGTCTGGCTACTTTGCACATAAGGCACAGCTTCAGAAAAGCAGAGGGAGGCCTCCTTTCCCCGGCCATTGTTCTGATTTGTCCTGGGGTCAGGGGACCCTGCGCCATTTCCTGGTTGTGGACGCCCAAGTAGAAGGACACTAGGACCCCTGCCTGCTCCCCTGCCAGTCAGGGGCTGGGGGATCGCAGGGGTGGCCTGGGGTAGGCTGGGCAAACCTGGCCCCTCTGCCCCTTCCAGTTCCCATCACCAGAATGGGACACCGTCACCCCGGAAGCCAAGGATCTGATCAATAAAATGCTGACCATCAACCCATCCAAACGCATCACGGCCGCCGAGGCCCTCAAGCACCCCTGGATCTCGGTGAGCCTTCCTCAGCAAGGCCCCACCTGGGAACCCCTCCAGACCTCAGGAATAAGGCCCCTACGGAGGCCTGGCCCCTGCCTCTGGGCCTGAGGGCCCAGCCTGGGGCCGACGGAGCTTAATCCAAGAGACTGTTGTTCTCAGGGGAAGAGTGGCAAGTGGGAGGTATTCTGGGTTGCCACAATGACTGTGGGTACTACTGGCTTTGAATGTCCATTGCCAGGATGGTTTTTTTTTTTTTTTTTTTTTTTTTTTTTTTGCGGTACGCGGGCCTCTCACTGTTGTGGCCTCTCCCGTTGCAGAGCAACAGGCTCTGGACGCGCAGGCTCAGCGGCCATGGCTCACGGGGCCCAGCCGCTCCGCGGCACGTGGGATCCTCCCGGACCGGGGCACGAACCCGCGTCCCCTGCATTGGCAGGCGGACTCCCAACCACTGCGCCACCAGGGAAGCCCCGCCAGGATGTTTATACCATCCCCTAGAACAAAAAATCATTCCCCTAAGATGGCAACCACATCCATAGGATACTCTGGAGGGGGAGGGAGGGCTTGCCTTCCGCTCACAGACCTGCCCCCACTCCCTTCAGCACCGGTCCACCGTGGCCTCCTGCATGCACAGACAGGAGACCGTGGACTGCCTGAAGAAGTTCAACGCCAGGAGAAAACTCAAGGTAACAGCAGGCCCTCACCCTCCATATGCCCCCCGGCTGTGGGAGTAGCTTGGCCTGGGCCTCCGCAGTGGCCAAGAGACCCGCTTGCTAGCTCTTTCCTCTGTTGAGTCAACAAGTGTTATTGAACGCCGGCTGCCTGGGCTGGGCAGTGAGCAGCGGTGAGGACAGACGAGTGATGGAGACGTTATGGGGCAGTGGTGAGTGCTGTGACCACATGCCCTGCGGCTGTGGGAGTGCATAGCAGGGCCATGGGAAGGATCCCGGAAGCCTTCCTGGGCAAGTGTCATTTGAGCTGAGATCCCGAAGGATAAGCAGGTATTAACGGTGTAGAGACAGATTGGGCAGATCTGCAAGTGCTTTGGCGTGGCTGGGAGAGGTTTCCGGGGGTGACACATGACTGGGCAGGAGACCACGGTGGGGGTGAGAGACCCCAGCTGCCAAGCACTGGAGAGGAATGGCCGAGGGACTAGACAGGGGTTGTGGCTCCAAGGAAGCCACAGTGTGAGCCAGGTGGGCCCTAAGCTGCCAGCCTCTCAGCAGGTCTGTGTGTTCTCAGGGCCGTGACATCTCCTGGCCTAGACCTTGCCAGGGACCCCGTGAGCAGGTCGGAAGGGCAACCAAGGGGTCCCCAGCTGGTCGGAACAGAAAAGCCACCCACATGCTGAGTGACAGATACTGAGGCCCTGGCTGCTTCGGAACCTCCTCACCAACTGCTCCCAGGCCTGGCATGGTGGCCCAGGACAGGGACATGGGCCAACGGGGTGCTGGCCAGCATGATGCCAGGAGAATTGCGTCTCACCCCCAACCCCGCAGTGGGAGCTGTCACAGAAGAACTCTCAAAATGTCAGAGTCAGGGAGTCTTAAAATCATGGACTGTCAGACCCAGAGAGTGTTCAAATCAGACAGCAGTTAGAACCAGGAGGGCCATTGGTCCCCAGCCCCTCCATTGACAGAGGAGGGTTCTTCCTCATTAACCCAGGGTTCCGAGCCCAGGAGCCACAGAGGGGCGAGCTAGTACTGGAGTGAGGAGCTGAGTGCCCTAGGCAGAGGTTGGAGACGGGGTGGGGGGGGGAGGGGGGGGGGGGGGGGGGGGGGGGGGGGGGGAAACCAAGGGGTGCAGAGTCTACTGTCCTTGCCCCGTCAGGAAACTTCCTTGGCCTTTAGGAGCCCCACCGACAGGTGTCCCGGAGCACAGCCACCAGCTCTGGCCAGGCCGGTGGAATCTATTAATATCTGCTCCTAGGATGGCCGTGTACCCAGAGCGGTGCCAGCTAAGGCCTAGCTCACCCCTGCCTCACCTTTCTCCAGGGAGTTAGGGATGGTCTCGGGGCTGTGGGGTGAGAGAAATGGAGGAATGGAGGGCAAGGGGCAGAAGGCTTTCGCTTTGTGTCTGAATGGAGCACCTGCCTCTCCTTCCCCACCCCCCTCCCATTTCTCTGTCTCTCCTCTCCCCCCTCACCTCTGGCCTCCTCTCCCCCAAACCCCCTCCTCTTATCTGTTGCAGGGAGCCATCCTCACCACTATGCTGGCCACCAGGAACTTCTCTGGTAGGTGGTAGGACCTCAGATTTCCAAATACATCCTGCAGGAGGTAGGGGCATTGCCGTATGGGATATCTGGTGCCCTCAGGCCAGAGGGCCTGGGGAGAGGGGGGCTGTAGGGGACCCCATGACTGGGGACTTAGCTCACCTGATGCAAACCTGCCGAAGTAGATAAAGGTCAGAGGTCATCAAGCCAAGGGCTCACCAGGAAGGGTTAGAGGTTAAGTCTGGCTCCCCCACCTCACAGCAGTGCTGGGGTTCTCAGGCTGGGGCGGCCAGATGTCAGGGTACAGGTCCAGGAGGGACTGACCCAGGCCCAGGGAGTAGCAGTATTCCTGTTCCCCGCAGTTATGGAGCAGTGCCTGTGCTTTCGCTAACGTGGTCTTTGTGACAAGGTGATTGCCATCCCTGTTTTCTGAGTGAGGAAACAGAGGATCAGGGAGGTAAACTCTGACTTGCCCCAGGTCACACTGTTAGAGGGAGGCTTTCAGTGCAGTTGTGACCAGACCCAGAGCAAGTGCCTTACCAGGCTGGGTCACCAAGGAGTCCAGGGTAGGAGGCTTTGGCCTTGGCCGGGGCTGGTTCAGGCGGGAAATGCCCAGTGACCTGTGGCATGTGGCCCCAAAGAGCGAAGGGGAGGGGATTAGCATCAGGGCTTAGCAAGAAGCTCCCCTTGGCATGTTAGAGAGTGCCGTGGCCAGCGTCCGCCAGAGGCTGCTCTCTGTGGAGCCCGGGGCGGCGGATGGGGCGGTTGAGCAGATACGGCAAGGCTCACCCGAGGGGCCCTCTGGTTGGGGCAGCTAGAGCTGCTGCGGCACGTGGCTGGCTCCACTGCAAGGGGTCGGCTCTGGGAAGCTACAGCCCTGGCATTGCTGAGAGGGTCCACCTGCACATTTAACCAGCTGGGAGAATGAGACCCAGGGCTGGGAAGACCCTGCAACTTCAGATTTGGGCTTTCCCTCCCACGCCGGACTGCCTTCCCCCTCTCTCCCCAGACAAGG